ATGCAGGACTGCTGAGCGTGGTAAATATAAGAAAACATTGAAACAGGCAATATTAGATGCTTGCGATATTCGCAAAGATGATTGGGCACACCAGGTTGAAATTCGGGTGCATGGTTGCGTTAGTGATCTTCATGCAGCTGATGGACGATATCACCTGGATTGCAAAAATCAATTCATGGCACCTCGATCCATTACGTCAGCAACAACGAAAGTAGACCAAGGTATCAACAAAGATGAGGCCTTACATTATCTAGTAGGGGTAATGAAATCTGATTTGTCGCGTATTTGGAACTCCGTCGAAGCTTACAACTGTTACTTGTCGCAAGGTGGCAATGTTTTATCCAGAAGAACTCTAATTCACAAACTGTCAGATGTATTTGGTGCTGATCTTCTCATATTATCAGCATCCGGTGTTGCTAATATTTTGGTATTCCGTAGCAAGGCAGCAGGTGTTCTGAAAATACATGATGATAATGAAGATGATGCATCAGTAGAAAAGGTTGCTCAACAGATCGCTTTGGAGGTAAGGAAGCTCACTCCAAATAAGTGGGTTTACAAAACTAGAATTAGCAGAGAGAACATATTCGACGAGGTGAGCCGAACACGAATGAGCCTGCTCTCATGTATATCGGATAAGCTAGATTCATCTATGCCAGCCCTTTTAATTGGGAATATGGTAAGCAGCAAAGTATGCAGTCGTCCTACCGCTCTCCAAGTAGCACTAGGTGTGGTAGTGAGGGAGAAACACCTAATAGACCAGCTCTATGACTATGGAATCACATGTTCATATGACGAGGTGTTGAGGTTTAAGGCATCTGCTGCAGCAGCTGCTGCTCAAAAGTCCGAGCTCACTGGAATATCAGATGCCAATATAGGCCTTGTTCAAGCACTTGCCGACAACTTCGATGCTAACATCTCTTCCCAAAATGGTCTTCGCTAAACCCATGCCCTGGCTTTGCTCATGACACAAAATCAAGAACATCGGACATCCAATGATACCTCTGTCAAGAATGACGTAGCAATAAAACGCCTGAGAAAAAAGGAGATGAAAGACCCGATCATGCCAGAGATTATGACGTATGAGGGTCCCAAAAAGCCGGGAATGCCCGAAGGAAAGGGAAGACACTGTGTCCTGTCCCTGGAAATTTTAGCACATCAGAACATAGCTGTCAGACGAGCACAAGTCATTAACTTTGATTTCCCAAAGTGTGTGACAGCCAAGCCCAAAACACCAGAATACAATGGATTCAATGTAAACTGTTTTCGTGATCAAGGCCACTCTATTAAGCCGGCAACAACGACTGTATATACGCCACTCATCAATATAAAACCTTCAGATCCGAATACCATGATGACGGCCATGGTGGAGGCTCAACGCCTCACCACAGAGGCTGGACAGTCCATCACAGTGTTCACAAATGATCAACAGCTATACAGAGTTGCTGTCAATGTTACATGGGTGAATCCAGAATTATTCTGTAACTTCATTCCCCGACTGGGCGGGATGCACATGTTGATGAGCTTTGTTGGATGTGTTGGCACTATGATTGCCAATAGTGGCCTTGAAGACGTACTGATGGCAGCCTTTGGAGGTGTACCCCGTATGCTATCGAACAAAAACTTTCCACAGAACACAAGAGCACTGCGGATGGTAGTTGAAGAAATTGTGCATGATGTACTAGAGACTGTCGACTGTCATGAAGACTTGATACAGTTACTCGAGACTAGAGCAGCCAGCAACAGAACAACACAGCTATGGGTGGAATGCCTTATCAAGCCAGTGCTTATTATGATGTTGTTTGTCCGAGCTGAAAGGAAGGCAAACTGGCCGTTGCATCTCTGGACCGTAGAGCATATGTTGCCGTATTATTTCGCTGCTGCCCACTTCAATTATGCACGATACGCCCTGTGTTATCTTAGGTCTATCGAGCAGTTGCCAGATGAAATTCTAAGAAAGTTCATGAAAGGTGAACATGTGATGCGTTACAACCCCGGCATATGGAATGGGATATGGTCGGATATGTACATAGAGACGACCTTCATGCGCTACGGTCACGGTTCTGGTGGGATAGTTGGCATAACACTCAAGCCATCAGCGCTGAAGAGATGGGCATTGAGTGTCCATATATGTAGCCGACTTGTCCAAGATGTTGCAGACATGGAAGAAGGTTCATCATCAGAACACGCCACTACCAGTCACAAGGAGGAGATAAACGCTCGTGTGCAGTCAGATGCCGAGGACAGAGAGAAACTCTACGAGAAACTAATGTCCTGCATTAACCCTTTGGATCCGCAAATTCATTCTACGAGTATAACAAACATCGTCTCTGGCATAGTTGGCATAGACTCTGTAAATGTTAAGGCCGTTGCTATAGGCACGCACCAGATGAATGACTTTGAATCCAGGTGGCCTGAAAGTTTCAATGCGTCTTTGTCTAAGTATGTGATAACGATGGCTGTAATCAAAAAGAACATTAAGCTGGGATCATCGGTGTTGTTTGATACAAACCTCATCTACTCTCGAGTAATGGGATTGCGACATTCTCGGGACATAAATTTGAAGAACGTCTTGTATCATGAACTTGCACCAGTTCCAACATCCATGTTCGAAGACAGTGGAGAGATGAGAATTGCTAAAACAAAGTGTACTGAAGAACAAGATACGAGTAGACGTATCCACGAGATTGGTTCACCCACCAGAGATTACCATCCTTGACGCATGTGCCATCCTATGGATTGTCAACTGGCCTACGAATGGCACAGTATCAGATTTTGTAGACAACTTTTCCAAGTATGTATTGTGGAGGTTACAGCACAGCGATGTATACGTTGTCTTCGACAGATACTATGAATACAGTATTAAGAATGGGACAAGATCAGTCCGTGCAGGGAAGCAAGCCAGTCGACGTTACATTCTGACTTCTGGCACCCCGCTGCCACCCCAGCATGTCACCCTTAGTGTTAAAGAAAACAAAATCCAGCTGATTGACCTCATCTGCAAAGGTTTAATTAACAAGGCAGTCAACCGCGCCACTACAAGCTACATACTGGTCGTGACCGGACGTGATCCAGTTCCAACAATGATCTCTGGCGGAGTGGTAACAGAGAGAGAAGATCTAGCTACTACACACGAAGAAGCAGATGTAATTATGGTCCAACAGGTCGTTATAATGGCCGGCAGTGGGACGAACAACATAAAGGTAATATGCGACGACACTGATGTATTCATACTCCTAATACATTTCTATGACCTCCTAGCATTGACATGTCAACGGACCATGGAAGACACAAGCCCTAAGAGAGCGGTTGTAGACGTTGGCGAAACTACTAAGAAGCATGCAAACATTGCGCCTTACCTGTTAGCAGGACATGGTTTGACTGGAAGCGATACGGTTGCCCACCTGTGTGGAATTTGCAAAACTAGCGTTATAAAGGTTCTTCAGGCAGGTCACACAGTTGTCACTTTCCAGTATAGGCAATCGTAGTGCAACTGAAGAGGAGATACTAGATGAGGCAACTGCATTTATTGCTGCATGTTATGGCATCCAGAAGAGAACGACGATGTCACAGGTTCGCTTCGATGTCTGGACAAGGAAGATGGCCAAACATAAAGTGACGTCAACACCGGAACTGAGGACACTGCCTCCAAGCACTGAATCCTTTGCTGAAAACGTAAAGAGAGCTCACTTGCAAACCTGCATCTGGAAATCAACAACAGAGCGTGACCCGCCTGACCTAGATCCAACAACATTTGGCTGGTCACGTGATGAGGCATCACATCTACTCGTACCAGTCATGCTGCCTTCTGGAGTACTACCTGCACCTGACGAGGTTCTAAAGATGGTCTGTTGTTCGTGCGCTACTGGCCAGCCTTGTTCTACTGCAAGGTGTGGATGTGCTAGAGCTCGACTAGCATGCACTGTCTTTTGCAAATGTCAAGGAGAATCTCACTGCCAAAATTAAAGCACGCAACCAGTTAGTATTGATACTGATGAGGATGTGGACTCAGATGATGACTAGTGCTGAGGGTATCAGAATTCTTGACGTAAAATGCAAAATTACATAATTACGTACAGTGTCGGTGACACTGAACTCGGGACAGTATAGTACCAGAGTGGGCCAATGTGTAGAGTGAAATTGTTCACTATATTCTGTAATAAATGAGTTACTTAAAAACGCCTTTTGTGATCAAGACATACAATTCGCTATGTATTTCTTCTTCTATGCAAATGAACTGTCTAAACGATTGTTTTTGACGTCATGAGCACAATTCTGATCCCATATGTATATAGCTAATATAGCATTTTGGCAACCAACTCGGTGGCCATTTTGAAATAAAAATAGGTCCTATAAATTATAATAGATGTCACTAACGGCTTCTCTGACGTCACACACCTAGTATTAGACACCAAAATTATTGTCCTAAGAAAGATAGAAGCCAATATATGACCAATAATGCATTTTCAGCAGCCATTTTGGCGGCCATTTTGAATATCTATATAAACAAATGCTCGTATAAGTTTATAGATGTCACTAACGGCTTCCCTGACGTCACAAACTTAGTATTAGACACTAATATTATTGTCCTAAATGAAATATAAGCCAATTGATATGGCTATTATACGTTATTGGCAGTCATCTTGGCCGCCATCTTGGATTTATCAAAATGCTCAAGGGTGACAAAGTGGCACCCGACTGATTTAAGATCAGTATACTTTGGAGATGTGAAAAATGCAAAAACATTTTGTAAAGACCTTAGTGCAAGGTTATCTGGTCTGCCGCCAGACTATAGGCCATGCAACCGGGCATAAAGTGATAAACCATTATGTACATGTTCAGCTTCTGGTAAAGTTATATTGTTATCAGAAGTAGATAATAGGGAATCCTATTCAAATTCCCTATTATCTACTTCTGATTGTTATGGATTTGTCTGCATGGATATGTGCTTTTTATAATCCTCAAAATTCACTCTTTTTTTATATCTGTTGTGACATTTATAGGGTGCCAAAAAGGGAATTCTAGAGAGATTAGATGCTGGGCCAGTGATTGGTGATGGGGGCTTTGTCTTTGCTCTCGAGAAGCGTGGTTATGTCAAGGCAGGACCCTGGACCCCTGAAGCGGCCATCGAACACCCCGAAGCAGGTATGCAGCAGTATGGCTCATAGGGTCTATGTCCCCTAGGGTACTGCCGGAACGTACCCTGGGTACGGTCCGGTATACCTGAACGTACCCTGGTAACTATCTGATATGGTTAGAGTTAGGGTTAGGGAGTAAGCGTATGCGACTCCCTAGACTCGTTCGGGGACTCGTTAGTGGAGTAGGCGAGGTACGGTCCGGCACATTAGATAGTACCAGGGTACGTTCCGGCAGTACCCTGGGCCCTGGGGGACATAGACCCTCTCAGCAGCAATATGACGTACTAACGCCATCTGTCGGGGAAAAATAATTGATACACAAGTACGTGTTAAAATACTATACGATCATGCTTATTATGCAGAGGTATAATTAGTTCATACTTTTTAACTTATCTGCTTGTGTGTTGGGGGTGGGCGTAGCAAAGCTAGACATGGCTTGTGTTCTCAGCTGTTTACTCTAGAGAGTTCACCCTTGGCTATTGGCGATTGCATGTTATATGACCTATGTTCCCCTCCTCCGAATTATCTATGACTACGTAGTTGACCTTATTTCACAATAGAACTGTTTCTTATTCTAAAGTTTTTAACAGACTAAAATTGTCATCTGCATTTTCAGTGAGACAGTTGCACAGAGAGTTTCTGCGGGCTGGGTCTGATGTTATGCAAGCATTCACGTTCTACGCCAGCGATGATAAGTTACAGAACAGAGGTTGTGCTGCTAATGCCACACATAGTGTGAGTAGGTCTAACATGAAATTTTTAAGGGCATGTTTGTTTAAGTGGATTACAGAATAATGCCTTAATTGATGTCCAACAAGGGCTTCTAGGGGTGGGTGGGGTATTAAGTGATACGAATATTGGTAGATAGGCAAATTGGTGGCACAATGTGTTTATTACTGCAATGCAAACAACTAGTGTGGCTGGCTGCTGAATAGTGTTGAATTGTGGTATAAATACTTTTTATCGTGATGTTCTTGTGTGTAAGTAGGTGAAAATTTGATGTGAAACATGGAAGAATATGTGAACACTTCAGCACAGGGCGATAGATCCATTGTTAACAAGGCAGTGTTGACCGTGTTAATTGGATAGGGCATGGTCGTAGGATATTTTCTCTCTCTCTCTATATATATATATATATATATATATATAAGAGAGAGAGAGAGGAGAGAGGAGAGGAGAGGAGAGTAAGGGAGGGGAGGAGACGAGAGTGGACGAGAGAGGAGAGAGAGAGAAGAAGCGGAGAATAAGAGAGAGCGAAGATGAAGAGAGAGAGGAGAGATGAGAGAAGAGAGAGAAGAGAGGAGAGAGGAGAGAGAGGAGAAGGGAGATAGAGGAGAAAGGAGAGGAGAGGAGAGAGGAGAGAGGAGAGAGAGAGAGGAGAGAGAGGAGGAGGAGTGGAGAGAGGGAGAGAGGGGAGAGGAGAGAGGAGAGAGGGAGAGAGGAAGAGGAGAGAGGAGAGAGGAGAGAGGAGAGAGGAGAGAGGAGAGAGGAGAGAGGAGAGAGGAGAGAGGAGAGAGGAGAGAAGAGAGAAGGAGGAGAAGAGAGAGGAGAGCAGGAAGAGGAGAGAGGGACGAGAGAGGAGAGTAGAAAGAGGGAAAAGGAGTAGAGAGACGAGGAGGGGAGAGAGAGAGGAGTAGAGGTAGTGTAGTGATGTATAGGCGTAGGTGTATTGATAGTGTGTAATGTATAGGCGAGTGTAGTTAGGACGTAGGGTGTAGTGTTACGTAGGTGTGGTGGATTAGTGTAGTGTGGA